AATAAATAAATAAATAAATAAATAAATAAATAAATAAATAAATAAATAAATAAATAAATAAATAAAATAATTATAATAATATGATATCATATTTTGCCCTGCTTCCCAAAAGATATTCCCATCCTGGCTGAGGTGGACTACAGTTTTTACCTCGCCTAAATCTCATCAAGTAGGCCATATAAAATTGAATGGAAACACATATCATTGTGGGAAATTTCAACTACCCTTCCTTCATCATTTGCATGATCCTCCCATTTAAGGTCTTATCAGGAACTGTATGGGAAAACTAGAAGACCTGAAGTCATTTGATCCTACTGCAAGAGCATCATTTCGTGCAGCTTAGACTCCATTTACGGACATGTACCATGAGCCCATATCGCCATTCCTCACTGTCGCGTAAGACAAAACAGATTAATGGGCCAGTATTTTACATTAAAGTAACTATGCTCCTGAGGTATAATAAGTAGACGCTTGTTGATTTATTCTCCAATCACATTAAAAGTTCTATTATCTCTGGATATATATATATATATATATATATATAGAGAGAGAGAGAGAGAGAGAAATACATACAGACAGACAGACAGAGAAGAAGGGGTTTAGAAAGAGAATGCGTATGTAGCCTCATCAGGTGATTGTGAGTAGGTGTTGATTCCTAAAGAGGTCAGCTTTTCTGCTCAACCATGGCAACAATTCCACTTAAACTCCAGTCCATGATTGCCTCGAGTTCATTATACAAGAAGATCAGACAAGGCAGTTGCGGGTCGCAATGAGGCTCGAGAACTCGATCGTAAGGTTGAAGTTTGTCGAATGTGTATTGAACACGCCTAGACAACCGCGATTCTGGCAGTTTTTACTTTTTGTTTCGATCTCCGAGACGTCTTAGTGACTACTAGTGTTCTTCTTTTTTCTCTTTTAGGTGACTGGCCGGCTGGTTGAAACCGGTTACGACCAAGAATTTGCCAATTTTTGCTTGATTCCGGACCTCTCGTCACGACCAGCATTCAGTCGATTCGGACGAAGAGGGTCAGTCGACACAACAAGCGCGGGCAGAGACGTCAAGAAGACGACAAATCTGGCGAGGTGAGCCCACTTTCACCAACTGATCAGTCATTTCAACTCCTGTCGAGCTAATTCTTGGCAAGCACGTCAGTGTGGAAGGAGGAGGGAAAACTGAGTCTTGAAGAAAACTTCAGTGCGTACCAACAATGGTTGGACAGATAGTCTTTTTGTGCTCGTGTGCGACTCCGTTTATTCTAGACTAAGCACTTGTGTGCTATGTTGTCGGAGAAAGAGGTCGTTTTTAAGTAACATGCCTACAAACATTTAACCATACGTCTTCAAAATAAATGAGGAATAAGAGATAATTTAATCTTTCCACAATGAGAAGACTAGGTCACACGCTTCAATTAAATTTCACATGCTAATTATGTAACATCTACATCAACAATAAAAAAGACAACCACTAATAATATTTCCACTACTACTTATGCTGCTGCGACTGTTACCACTAGTATGGCCACCAATGCCACTACCACTACTACTACTACTATAATAATTGTTAGTTGCATTACTACTGCTATTATTGCTACTATTACTGCTACAAATACTGCGATAGCAACTTAGACTACTACTACTACTACTAACATCATAATTGCTGATACTATTATTTTTCCGTTACTGCTACTTAAACAATCAGTAGAACTACTACTTGGACTATTACTACTACCATCCCCACTAGAAGTAGTAGTAGTATTTCTACTAGTACTGATTCTACTATTACAATGACGACGACATCAACCATGATTAATATTACCACTATTATTATTATTATTGTTATTATTATTATTATTATTCCGACTACGATTACGACCGAGACTATGACTGCTACCACTA